CTGTTTTGTAAATACTCCCAAGTCAATCGCGGCCCCATAGTAAAGGGAGGGAAAGGGCCGTGATGCAAGGGTAACATCAAAACACTATAAGAGTAAAATGAGGACAATTTAGGGAGCCTTTTGTGCCATTTAGAAAAGAAAAGAAAAAAAACAAGTTTAGAAATCAAAGTGCTCAATTTGCTGCAAAATTACTCACCAATTACCATTTCCTTCCCTGTTTGGCCTACTGGAAGTGGACAGAACAAAAAGAGAGATATTTTTTTTTTAAATTTCTGGTCCTTGGTTCATCACAGACACAATAAGCTGCAGTAACATCTATATTCTACCCAAATAAGGCAAAAGAAATGTGATATACTTGTGTTATATTATCCAAATGGAAGCACTTACCCTGACATTTGCTCTGGCTTAAGAGCATAATGTTAATGGATAATAATTATTCAAGGCACTCATAAAATGAACCCTGAGTCTCCTTTCTTTATGGGTTAAAAATGGAGATCTAAGTTTAGAGAGAGGTAGAGGAGCAGGGGGTCATTTTGAACAAAGGCCATAAAAAAACAGGTCACATGGCTTGATGTCAAAAGTCCTTCAGCCATCATTGTGCAGACGAGAAGCGGCACTTAGAGAATCAAAAGACCTGTTTGAGAGCACAAGCTAAAATATATCAAACCACCTGACACCTGAATGTTAATGTGTTTTGTTATTTTTGAAGTGTAGCGCTGTTTTGCTTTCTTTGTGTTTGGATCCTTCAGATCTTCCCGCTTGGCCTCCTTACTTTTAGTCTAGATAGGTTTGGGGGGGGCAGTAATTTCTAGTTGTGTGAGATAATGCTGGATTTGGACAGCAGACATTGTAATATTGCTTGCACTGGGAAAAAAAAAAACTGGAAAAAAAAGAGTCAGCGTTCTTGAGGTTCTTTTCAAGGCTTTGCATTTACAACGGCTGAAGCAAAACACCAGAAGCTCAGCCGTCAACAAGCAAGGTGCAGCTGATTGGAGCTCTGGGGGATGGGGGGGGGGTGATAGATGCACAGGGCTTACCTGTGGAGCATCTGTGCACAGATGCCCATTTGGCCGGTCTCTGGCAACAGGGAATGCGTGACCTTCCAGCACGGAGGGTCACGGCTGCCTCTGCTCCAGAGGACTCACATTTGTCCACCGACTGTGTGCGCGAAGGAAACCAGGGCGACCAGATGTGGCCCAAGTGCACGGCTGAAAAAAGATTTATAGGAGTAAAATCTAGTGCTACTATGTTATTATCAGCCCAAGTTCCACTACAGCTTAACCAGAGGCCAGTTTCTCTGGTGTCAGCTTTCACATAACACGTTTGGTCACGAGCCTGGATGCTCTAATTATTCCTTAATTCCATACTCACAATCGTGGAGATGTTGACTGGTAACCATTTTGGTGGAGGTTACTAGTGAGGCCAACATGCAAGGATTCTCCTGAACTGTGTCAGGCTGAGCAGGAGTGATTTGGTGCCTCTTCTTGTAAAGTAAACGTGGATGACAGATGACAGGGGCCCTGGGGGGAGTTTCAACCCATCCGCTTGTGACCTTACGGCGGGAATGCACGCGGCGGCTGGATCGCGAACCTCTGCCGTTCTCCATCGCGAAGCTTCATTCCCCATATCGACTTTTCTCATCCCCTCCGTCCGTACTTGTCGGCATACCAGCCTTTTCTAACACCAGCCACTTCTCCCGAGCCACACTCCAATTATGAAAGTGTAAATCCATGGGAAATGCATGCATTTATTACGGACTTTCACAAGGTAACAGTACGGATTTGCCATTCAGCTCTATTATCATAATCTGCCATATGAACTATTTAGGCTCACCTTGGGAGGGGGTTGCTCCAGTTCATTTCAGTATGTTTATGGACTGTGGAGAAAAGCAGAGTAACCAGAGGAAACCCCACTATGACACAGGAAGAACATGCAATCTCCACACGCAGAGAGCTGGGGTGGAATCTCCAGAGCTGTGAGGTGACCATGCGACACAGAGGGCCACCATGCTATCCCCCTACAGCTAGATTCCAATGGCAAACTAGATCTTCCATTTTATTGTCTGTTTTTTTTAGCCCTCAACAAAGTGCCACAACTATAATGCCTCTCATTAATATTTAACTAGCCAGTGCTGAATGGCTTCATTCTAGTGTTAGTGGAAATGGCAGCAGTAAAGATTGATAGAAGCCATGTGCTGAAGCCACAGTTAATCGCTGGACCCACAAATGCTGCAATGTGTGCATGTGTATCACTACAGATACAAAAGCAGGGCTCAAAAGACAGAGATACAAAAGTAGGACTCACAATAATCCAACTGACCACATAAAAATGTCATATTAACATAAAATGAAAGTATTAATTTAAACTTTACATTGAACATTAGCATGATTTTATTGCAAACAGTGCCAAAGTAATTTGATTAAATCAAACACATTTTTATGGCCATCCTGAAAAAAAGAAACATTTGACCTTAGAACTCCAGCAGATAAATCATGTGATGTTAGCTTTTCACACCTGCATGCATTTTCCCCCCAAATCCCCACTGATCCTTTCCTGCATTAAATCCTCGGACTACTGAGTGTTACTAAAGCACATGCACATTTCCCTTCTCCGTGTCTCATTATTTCCATGGCGATCAGTTTATCTACACTAGTGTTTCCCTACCCGGTCCATGTTTTTGCTCCCACCCGGCTCCTGGCAAAAACGTGGACGGACTGCGGGTCCACGGGGAACGGATTGGAAAGCACTTATCTAGACATCTTGCAAAGTTTCTGGATGAAGATGCAAATACGAAAATTACTCTCCCGAATAATGAAATTATATATCAGACGCCAGTAAAACACAAACCAGACAAGAGAAAACAAAAACTGCAGCAAGCATCAGATGAGAAGCGAATTCTCCCAAACTTCCCCAGCTGATATCGAAAACGCTTTCCAGGGTTTCCCAACCTGAACTTCAGGGACTCACGGACGGTCCATGTTTTTGCTTCCTCCCAGCTCCCTGCCAGACAGTGCACATTTTTGTTCCCTACTGGGAGCTGGGAGGGAGCAAAAACACGGACCGTCCGTGAGTCCCCGAGGACACAGCGCTATTCCTCTGGGATCCATTTGGAGTGACAGGGCCAGGCATGGAACAGACGTGTCTTTGCAGACCCCACTGGGGAAGCCAACTGAGCTGCGCAGCCCTTCCCTGGCACGCTGGTATAAATCACCCAGAATGCCAAACTCGCAGGCCACTCGCGGGAACACACCGAAGCCCTGCATCCCAGCCTTCTCCAGCAAGACTATTCCCAACATTCGCAACGCTCTGACGCAAGACAGCAATACTTCCCACTGGAGATGCTTGCAGACTGGGTCACGGGGGCACTGCAGAAACCCCGTGGAAAGGTCCTCAGCAAAACATCAATCAATGCTGGCCAAAGAAAATGATGCATTCAGTCAATAAATATTTCTTTCCCAAATATCCTTCAGGACTATCAAAATCTTGTTTAAATAACATCCTTAAATCAAGCAACTATGGGAATTCTAACATAGGAGTGATCATTATATTGGCCATAAGTTTTATTCAATAATCTACTTAGCTGATACTGCATTATTATTACCTACAATTTACATTGTATTCAGCATATTCTTCCATCCAATGTGACAAATAACTGGAAGCAGACTGTCCCTGGAGCAGCTGGAAGGTTTTTGCTTTAGGGCCCAATGGCAACATCACTGCCAACAACAGGATCTGAACCAGCGACCATCTGATCCCACCTACAGTTTGTTAATCCACTGAGTCACACAACACTCCCATATAGGGGAAGACATCACATACAAGGCTGGAAATTAAACTTGCCCACTCGCCAGAGGTGAGTCATTCAGACAAAGGGCAAGTACAAAAAGTTGCACACTATCTTACTGGCTAGTAAAGAAATTGCACGTAGGAATGTCAACGTTAAAGCCTTTGCGTTCATTTTAACATGCATTTAGGCAGACTGGGTTATAATTTCTTCTTAATTTTGCATGTGTTAATTTCAACACTCATTTTGGGAGAATAGTTTGAGCAAAGATGTTTAATAGAGACCTGTAACACTGGCAAGCTAGACGAAATTAAAAAAATACTATATTTAATGCATTGACGAACTGTCCTAATGTATACTTAAAAAAAACAAAAGGATATGAGAGTTAGAAAAGTTTTGGATGGCTGGGAACTGTTTGTGTTATCACGGGGTGTTCTGAATGAGTGAATTGTTTATAGAAATTCATAACTGACCATAATGTTTTACATGGTCATTTATAATTGTAAGATACGAAGGCTTTTGGGTATTCTTTATGCCTGAAAATTATATTGTACATTGTGTCTGGACTAGTGCATTTTTGCAGAATTAGCCGTTAGCTAGTAGCAAAAGTGCTTAAGTTCCACCACTGTGACCACATATTTCACACGCGAGTGACAATGCGTCGCTCATCCAACACGAGTTACCTACTCACTGTTTGCGTGTTGCCATCATCACCTGAAGAGAGCGTACTTTCAATTTTTGTTTCTCGTGTCAGTATCTAGCCCGCACTGCTCACATCAGCACCGTCAAATCAGCATGCTGAGTTTGCACATTTTTGTTTGGTGTCACAGAAGCTGGTATGTAACGCATATTCATTCAGAGCCATCTGACCGATCCACTATAATAATCACTTACTCAAAGCAGTGTCGGTCAACTGATGACATAGAAATTGGAAAGAAAAAAAAACTAGACTTAATGCATTGTCGACGAGTCCTAATGTAGACTTAAAAAAATATGAGGACATGAGAAAAAAACTTGGGTAGCTGGATGGCTAGTAGGGATTGGCCATGCACTGACCGCTGGGGGCTTTCACAGTTGACCAAAGGTACAGCTGGGATTATAAACCCAGGATCTCCTGTTAACTAGACAGGTGCTTTAACCAACCAAGCCAGAGCGACACCCCCTCAGGCTCAGTTCTACATACAGAACTGATTTACTACACAGGGATACAAAATTATCACACTGCATTCACAAGCAGGATTTATTAATACTGATCATCCTGTTTTCAGTGTTTAGGGTGACAACCTCCTTTAGATTTAAAATATTTCTTAATGCTTTTTGTTCTCATGTCCACGGTTAACGTTACTTGAGCTGAGGACCAGGGCTGGACTGGCCATCTGGCATACTGGGTACTTTCCCAGTGTGTTGGTGGGGCTGTGGCCCAGCAAAACTCATCACATGCCTAGTGCTCGAACAATGTTTATCATATCTGCAAATATCTTCCCCACAGACATTTTTTTAAGTGTCAAAAATTTTTGGACTGACTCATTCAGTTCTGTTCTTGCCATTTTGCTAACAGATGCAGTTTCAGTCATTGACTCCCAATGGGATACTAAACACAAATGTTTGGTGTTTTATGTTATTGCAAAGATGTTACTAATTAAAAAGCACCCAATGAGACTGCTTGTTAATGAACTCAGAACAGCTCTGTTAGAACTATAATTAGGGTTTCAATTTATTACTACTTGAAATAAATGGGTGTTTCTTGTAACATATATTTTGTAAACAAATGAACAATGATTCTTGTTATAAAACCTATAAATTTGCACTTGCAGTATTTTTACTAAAGTGCCCAAAGACTGCATGTGTGGTAAACCAGTATCGCTACAGTCCAGTGCTGATTTTTAATCACCACCCTGGCGAGAACAGTAAATAATCAGTTATCATAATTTCATTCGGAATTAATCCTAGACTCTCCTCTACGCCAGTGTGACTAAACAAGGCAAAATCCTACTGACTAGAACTGTTGTACATAAAGCAACTAAAGATGTGAATGTTTACTGCCCTCATGTGGTGATAGTCTGAAACATCTTCTGACAAGTAAATATGCATTTCAGGATGGAAATAGTTTTTGGGGGTGAAAAAAAGTTCTATTCCTTTCCGTTTTTTTACTTATTTTATATGCAACTTGATATAAGGTACATATTCATAAAATTAAAATGAATCTATATTCAGTCCAAAATATGTATTATGTTTGGTCTTTCACAAAAGCTAAATAAAAACCTACCCGCTGTCTCCAATCACTCTATGACAAGTACGGGTTTTAATGTAAATTTCTAACACTAGAAATGCACTAGTAAACAATAGAAAACAATATAACATAAAACTTTTTAGAACAGTTTTTGTTGACAGCTTTGAGATATAAATTGGTTTGCACTGGCAAGTCAGTCTGTTGTCCACTTGGGTCTGTTGTCCATTCTTTTGTCTAAATGAAGGAAAGGGTACATTTTCACAGCACAGCGTATAATGGAGGCCTTGCTGTTAAATGTCGTGGATGTACATTTCAGCTGGTTATTACACAGGAGTGCTGACAAATCTTTACATATTTCACAATAATAATTAAAAAAAAGATGTTTCAAACTCCCATGTATAGAAATTCCTAACATCCATGTTAACAGTAACAAGCTGAAAAGCTTGTTTCGATACTGTTAATATCTCAGCCTTATCGCATCTCTCGTTGCCTGCACCAGTGCACACTGACTGATCCTGGTTCAGTCCTGAGCTGCTTTTAGTTTTTGAGCCATGGTGCCATCATGCTTTGAGCCCCCCAAGCACGGTGGGCTCTTGGCTAGGGTGGGGTGTTCCTGCCACTGCTCCGGTGTCTTGGCCTGGATGGCCAGGGCGTGCACAGAGCTGCTGAGCTCGTCTCGCAAGGCCTCGTTGACCAGCCTGTGGCGCTGCAGCAGGGAGAGCCCATCGAAGCAGGAGCTCACCACCAGCACCCGGAAGTGAGACTCGGACCCAGCAGGGACTGCGTGCATATGGCTCTCATTCAGGACCTCCAGGTGCTTCGGATCCAGGGCCTGGGTCAGCTTGGCCCGTATAGTGCGCTCAACTGGCCGGCTGGTGTCCATCCGAGGCCGGGCTAGGACGGTGTTCCAGGAGAAGGAGAGAGTGCTGAGAAGGGGACGAGTGTTACGGAGGACTCTGTGCAGCATCAGCAGATACTGTCAGGGCTGCCCATTCAACCCAGTCGGCCAAGGCTGAAGATATACCTACGGAAAGCAGTAACCAACGGAAATAAGCAATGACTTTCTAGGTCAGAGTTTCAACGTTAAAAGTCAAGTGGTATCTTCAACCACACGACTCTTAATGTAACACCGAAAATTAAATTCAACCAAATAGCGAGAGAGATGTGCGGTACGTTTAACGTAGTCACCATTTCCGAACCTATAAACTCAAACCTGAATGGAAATCAGACCCATATAACCGAAATTTCAAGGCCGGTGTGGGGAATATCGCACCATTCGGTCCCCTTTGAACGGTCGGCAAAGTAGTTGGCAACAATGCCACGATTTTGCTGTATATTTAATGTTTACCTGGCTGTATCTATTGCTTGAGAAATAAAAAGTTTAACATCAGTAATCGACCAATACTTCAGAGAAAACATCACAAACTGGAAGACACTCCATGCATTATAAAGGGCGACATTGCTAACACGGCGGCTAGTCCTGCTTATTTATATTGCATCCATTCATAACGAATAAATACATTTGGTCTAATGATATTCCTATATACTTATAATAAACGTTTATAGTTTTACTCAGTCATACTGCAATATAAAACGCCTTTAAAGTTTATCTCACCGTCGCTGAAAGACGACCTATATTAGGGGTCCTGACCGCATGCGCAAACTGGGAGGAGCGCATTGAATCCTGGGCATTGTAGTGCTCTAGGCAAAGCGTCTTCAAAGTGATTCATGAGTGCAATATGAATTTCAGTTTGTTAATGTGGTCTTTTATAAAAAGAATGATAATAACACGACTTAAAATTCGTATTGAAAATTTAATTTACCATTACTGTATGATGTATACTTGGTCCTGTTTTTGAGTTTACTGAGAATGACACTTTATGGAATTAAGTTCATATTATTCTGAACTAAATTCAGAGCGTATATCATACCTTTTGGTAGTAAAATGTGATGTAAAAATAATGCAATTATGTCACACATTATATTTGCATAAATTCGGTATTAGGCTCCTACCTATTCAATCCAGCACTGGGTGACACTCACATGGAGGCCCAGAGCAAACTTCGGCAGCCAAGGGCACTCGGCCAGGCGAGGCCCTGGATGGGACGCCGGCCTTGTGTGTTATTGTATACACACACACACACACACACACACACACATACACACACACACGATGTGAAGTTTAAAAAAACCTGTCATTTCACCAAATTCAGTGTATTTTAACTAAGGTATGTTGAGGAAACTGGGCAGTCTTTAATGTATTACAAAGTCGAAAAACCAGTGCTCCAGTGTGGGGTATCAAACAAAAATAACTTGGTCACTAATTGGTCGCTTAGCTTGACAGCACTTGTACCAAAGTTGGCTGCATGATAGCTGTACATCTGTGATGTTACTATCTGTCTTGCTTATGTGTCACTTTGGACAAAAGCGACTGAAATATAAACATAAACGGGGTATACATGCAGAACACAGGAAAGAATAACAGAGTGAGATGGTGCAAATCAGATTGTTTCTTCAATGTTTATTACTGTACTTTATTCATGTGTATTTTTCACTCCATTGCAGTAGTGGGAGGCTGAGTTATAGTAAGGACTGTAGAATCCTCTTTCATTAACAAAATAAAGCTGGAAAAAAAAACTCACATAAACCAATGTGCAATAACTTGAGGGTGTTACATTAACATAGTCTTCATATCCAGTAATAATTACCATTGACATAATAATTCACATCTTTAAATTGTCCTTTACAAAACACAAAAAAATTAAAGACAACATACAATAGTATTCAGTCATTTAGAGGTTGTTTTTTTTGTATTTTTGTTGTTTTTGAACATATTATATGTTTACATATAAACATCCACAGTTTCTACAGCACACGACAATTACAAAGTTAAAAGTTGTATTAAGTTTAAATAATGGCGATGCTTCATATTTGACACAGACATGGCATTCCTCGGAGATCTAGTTGGACGTTTACATTGTGAAGCATCCCTGCGTCACATGGGCTGAGCTGCAAACTGGCAATGTGTTTGGCTTCATTAAGATGGCTAGGCAGTGCTGAGCGAACAAAACATTTCTGTGGTTATTGCTTCAATTATTTTGCACCTGTAATTAAGACTTGGTCTAATTTAAGGAAAATAAAAAGACAAAGAAATGCAACAAATCTGACTAAAGATAACATTTTTTGTTTTGCTTTTAGTTATGTTTTGTCCCATGCGGAGAGAACCAAGATGTGGTTCTAATTCAGATTCTCAGGTTAGTGGTAATTGATCAATATCAGTTTTGTTCCATACAAAAACTGTTATGACAACATAACGCTGAAGCAAACTGGCAGAGACATAAAGAAAATATAGCAGAATATCTGAGACATGCATTAATGCTGACTGTGGTCATGATAGCTTCTTAATCTTAATCTTAATCTTCTTAATCAGACTTTGTTGAACTGTCATCAACAAATGATTTACAGGCGGTGATCTTTCATTTTGTAAACTACGTTGTCCACGATTCACCATCAAATATACAGTTCATAAAGTAAGACCAGGTAACTTAGTTGAATTACTACATCTTTAATGTGCTGTGCTCATCATGCATTAGTCAAGAGCACAAGGCAGACAAAGGGGTCTGAAAAGGACCGTAGATCTGGTAGATGCATTACACAGAGCATAGTGCTTTGATGGGTCTAGATCCAACACATAACTGGTGTTTTCATGCTGACATTCAGATCTGTGTCTTTGTGTTTCTGTGCTAATATTTTGTGGTAAAACTTACATGGTAAAACTTTAGAAAACCACTGCAGGAATGTAAGATCCTGATTTATGTCCGCAGTCCTCAACCTATTCTATCATGAACTAACCAAAAAAGTGAGTGAAATTAACTGTATGTTTTTATGTTTGTGCTTTGTCACCCTGCAGGAAACCTTTGGCCATGTTGATATTACAGTATGAGTGATTTCCCGTTATGTTTATATGCTCTGGAATGATTTTCTAAATTCAAAAGTGGCAAAAGAAAATCTTAGCGCTGTAGTTTTTGCTCGATACGGTGCTATATGGCTACTATCCGACTATAACTTGGCAGTAATACACAGCATGTGGAAGTTCTTTTCACTGGTATTTTTGTTTGACTCTGTGCAGAAATTTTCTTAGTGTTTTTTAGTGGCAGTTCACAGATTAAAAATGGAGATGATGGAGCCTTCTTGCTGACGTTTCAAGAAAAGAAAAAAAAAACCTTATCCCTATAGCACGACAGTTATGTAACATCTTTTCAGGTGCAAGAAGATACTGTCCTTACAGTTAGATTCACCTGCCTCTCCCATTTTTTGCGGATTAAACAATGGCGTCAAATGGAGGAGGATCAAGGGTAAGAAACTGACCACACAAATTAACATTTTAAAATAAAAATAAATACAAATATGGCTGTAAGCTGTTTCCATTGATTTTGGTAGAATAGGGTACAGACTGTTTGATCGGCCCATTAAATCCGACTCCGTTATTAGTGCGAGAAAAATCTACTGCAACAATTTGCATGTATTCTTACAGCGGAAAAGTGCTAAGTTTATACAATGGCACAACATCATTGTAAAACACTGGCTTACTGCAATCTCAGACACAGAGTCCATCACACCTGATGCCTCTTTCAATCCATGATGCCTATCTTTGACTTTAAAAATGTCTGTGGTCTTATGACATAAAAAAAAAATGTGCATTTCAAACAGCAAGGCCGCTGGATTTACATATACCGAAATGACGCGGTGTAACAAACGGATTATTACTAAACCGGCTTCATAATTTAAGACAATTAGGAAATAAAAATATAGTTAATAAAGAACACGCTCAAATGTACTGGATATACGCACCCCACATACACGCCACAAGCATGCTTCCATATAAACACGTCTCGTGTTTCCATTGTTTTGGCACAGAATATTCAACAAGGACAAACACTCAAAATGCATGATAGCATGGAATCTCAGTAAAATATATCTCTTTTTAAATTGTGAATAAATAATCAAATAAACCAAAATATACACATAATAAAACCTGCAAGAGTCTCATTATACTATCATACATTAATAGAACAAGTGTTCAATTTTTAATTTTACTGAATTTCGATTTCCTTGAACTTGTTTAAAAATGATCCTTTAAACACAGCTGTGCTTCTCTCATCTCGACTTATATGAAGCGATCCCCCTCCCCCTTGATCAGAAAACAGTGTCACTCTTCCTCTCATATACCAGGGATTTTTCATTTTTTTTGGAGGGGGCGGTTGTCCAAAAGATGTCGATGCAAAATGTGGAAAGAACACAGCATTAATGCCATAAAACTGCAAAATATAAAGTTGTATTCTACTCCCTTTCCAAGTCCAAAGATATCTGTGCCTTTGGTTTTGTGGTGCCTTGCAGACACTTGCTGAATTCACTTTTTCAACATGTATGAATTATTTTCATAGACGCTTAATTTGAGGTGTATTTACGTCATAATGCATGTTTTAATGCAGCATAACAATGTAACAGTTTGCACTGATATGACTGTTTCAATGCTAGAAATATAACTAAACAGGTTTAGAAAGGGTAATTCTACATTGGACTAAAATGATCTAAAAGTGATGTCTGGTGACTTGTCATATTTCAAAGAGTTACAGTATATTCAATGAAATGACATTGCTGTATACCCTGTAGTCGAGAAGGTGATGGTATGGAGGGAGAATTTAAGACAGGAGCAAAGCACGTCAGACTGGTGGCAGTGACTGTGAGAGCTCAACAAAAATCAAACCAGTCAATGCATAACCCATTCAAACTTTTTTTTGTTCCGTTAATATGTGCTCTTCTGTTCAGCAAGGATACATTTAAAGGAATGGAATGGAAGAGTGAGTCTGGAATGTTCTGGATAATTAAAGGGACGGCTCCCTGTCGGAATATGCGAGATCCTAGCGATCATGGAAAGAATCTGAATAGATCATCAAATTCAGGGCCTTGTCATTCTGGTTGTTAACAACCTTAAAAGACCATGACAAGGGACAATGCCTGTAGACACGCTGACTGCCCAAGACAGGGTGAAAAAAGTGCAGGCAACTCTTATAGTTAAAGCATCTAACCCCCACCACACACCCCTGGGGACAGCTTCTACTGTACCTTCTACTGTACCTTCTACTGTACCTTCTACTGTACCTTCTACTGTACCTTGCAGCACCTTACCCACAGAATGTGCCCTGAACCTCTGCTCCCACTGTCCCTTGAAATTGTGCTATAAGTATTACACAATGCATCTTAGCTCAGTGAAAGTTAGGTAAACATTACTGTAGACACAACAGACATCATATGGCATTCTAAGTAGATAAAATTATCATTGTAATTATACAGCATAATTAAACCAAACATTTAAGATGTTTGACATCACTTACATAATATAGGACCAATATTGTAATTTTTACACATTTTTATAGCCTGATTTTTTTCTTTTTTTTATATATATATATTATTGACAGATGCAGTGAGTTGAGATTAAATAACACCAGAAGCAGGTTCTTCTAAAACAGAAGTCCAGATGTGAAGAAATTACAGATGCTTAATAACATTTTGCGACAAATACCTTGCTCAGTGTTTTTTGAAAGGGCAGCTGAAAATCAAAGCAAAAAATTGCTTCTACACCCATACAATATTATATGATGGCAACGAGTACTTCATGATTTAGGGGCTGTGGTTTTTTTCACAACCATATGCAGTCACCTGGGATTTTTGGACCAAGGATGGGTGGCTCCAGTCACAGTATGGCTGCCTGCGCTCCTCGCTGCCCCCTGCTGACGGCTCCACGTTACTGCAGCACCTGACCTCGCGTCTCTGGGAGTTTCAGGGCCAGATAGCTGCCCACGGCCAGTGCCCCCGACGCAAACAAGATGGGCACAGCCTTGGTGATGCCCACGAAGGAGGTGAAGATGCTGATGCCCAGCACGGCTGCCAACTTGCACATGGCATTCAAGAACCCAAAGGCTGTTGTTCTGCATACAAGAGGCGACATGCATGAGTTACATTTTACATTTTATTAATTTAGCAGAGCATGACAATGCAGGGTCAGTCAGTGTCTCTAGTGCAGTTGGAGTTAAGGGTCTTGCTCAAGGGCCCAGTGGTGATGTAATTATACTATCTATACTTTATTAATCCCCATGGGGAAAATGTCTTTACGTCTCCCTCAACTTGCTCTTTGCAGAGCAAGCTGTCTGCGAAGGGCAGCCACCTGTTGGGGCACCCAGACAGCTGGGGGTTAAGGGTCTTGCTCAAGGACCCACAGACGTGCTGAGGCTGGGTTTGAACCAGTGACCTTGTGATTACAGGCACACAGGCTTAGCCCACTGTACATACCCCATATGTACATCATCAATAACAATGTAACATGTAAAATAGTATGCTGTCTTATCTTTGGGGCTATAATTCATAAACAGGAATCATCATCAACTGTTAATAGTAACTGTGCTCAGTCACTTAACTATATTTAATACCGCTTTTATTTGCATTTGAATCCTTTTGAATCCCAATAGCACAATCTGTGCACAAGGTGGTGCTATAATCCAAAGAGCTATTTTATATCACCTGTTGCTGTACATTAAGGTACATCAAGCCATGTCTTCACAATGCACTGTGGATGCTGCATTTCATCCACCAGCACCCTCAACTGACTGCGCTGCTAAGTGAACGAATCATCACATTTTAATTAAGATAAAATCTTTCTGAAATGCATTTCCTTAGGACCCGCTTTCATCTCCTAATTGCATTAAAGCAATTGTTTTATAAATACTTGTAAAACTACAATGTCTAAATGTTCTTTCAAAAATCTTAGTTCTGTACCATAAAAGAAATAATACATTAATAACTGATCAGTTTAATTAATCAATGGTTATTTGTTTGTGGCTGAAATAATTTATCAAAATATAAAAAATTAGCAACTATATTGAATTGTGTCAAATGTTACAAACTATTTTTACAAATAATTTATGTTAACACTTAAAATTTGTAAATTTGTAGCAGCACATTCTTTCACGTTTTCATTCTTGGAATGCATCCAAGTCATTTATTAATAAAGCCAAGTTAAACAAGAGCTAGTAGGTCTGAGGACCAGGGCCTGGGAACAGAGCTGTGAAAACAGGTGATGAGATACTCTGTCAAAATTCAAAAGAGCATGTCACTCATCTGGGTGTATTTTCAAATAATCGGGATGTCCTTGTGTAACACAATGGACAATATTTCAGGGAGGCAACTGCAAGAATCCTGTGAGATATTTTCTGCGCTAGAAAAGCCGCAACTATAAGGTGAGCCCTGACCTATCGCCTAGCGAGACCGACCCGGAGAACATGGATCACGCACCGCGTCACACGTTATCCAAACACTGGGCGAAAAGCAAGCGGGTCGTGCCACTCCGGGGTCACCTTTTGTCCGAGGGGTACAGCTCCACCGTGAGCACGTCCAGGGAGCTCCAGGAGGCGATGCTAATGCCCCCGAAAAGGCAGAGCAGCGCGATCATGGCCGACTCGCTGCTGCCGAACGACAGGAAGAAACAGCTGATACAGGAGATCACGCTGGAGCCGGCTGCGGAGGGGAAAGGCAGAGAGGAGGAGGAGGGGCTGTTAGATGAAGAAAAGCAGACCTCTAGATCGACTGCTTTCCGCCACAATAATACATATACATTATGTCGAATTGGATGAAATTAAAAATATGTGACAGCAGTTTCAGGAAACATGGGCAAGAATAAGCAGAAGTACAAAGGGTGGACTGGGTCACTCTGCTGGCCAGAATGGCTGCAGATTCTTGGAACACAGATGAGGCAGATAATGAGTCTTGGTTGATGATTAAGCTGGCACGTCACAGAGTGTGACTGAGCATACATCTTCCTCGATCGCTGGCAGTGTGAGTCTCCAGCCGACCCCCGGAGGCACAGGGCAGGGTTTGGGATTCGAACCCTAAACCTACTGGGGTGAGGTCATTATGCTACCCATTTAAAATGACCCGTTAATCCACATCAGGAGGGACACTATGAGCTACCACAAGTTTTACAAACTACTTTAAAGCTGAAAGGCTCCTGTGCTCGGCTAAACTGTTCGGTTCCTCTTGTACTTTCACTGGTTCGTTTCCTTTATTGAAAGACTCATCCAGCTGTTTCACATTAACATTAGTGACACGCGCTTGATTATATGAGACCGACCAAGCAGCACACAGCAAGAACTCAAGTGTTTTAGTGAAATCTGAGTTCTTTTAATTTAAATGGTGGTTTACAAACCCTGTTGCAGCTCATTGTCCCTCTTAACCTGTACTAGGTGGATATCCTACTACCCACGGAGCCATGACGCTACCCAAATAAGATTAAGATGAACTTTACTCATCCCAGGGATCTTTTACAGACATTACCATCAGAAGATTCTCGAACCAGCACTGGTCTAACACCAGCTCAATCAATTTTCTGTACCCACTTGTCCTATGCAGGGTTGTAGGGGTCAAGTGTCTATTAGTGTCTATCCTGGAAGCTCAGCATGTTTTTAACTGTGGGGGGGGGAAACCGGAGTACCTGGAGGAAACCCCACGACAACACGGGGAAAAAATGCAAAATCCACACACTCAGAGCTGGGGAAGTGACTCAAACGCTGGTCGTGAAGCAACAATCCTAAGCAAAGTGCAGAGTTGGGGAATTTAAGTCCACAGAGTAAAAGTCCAGACCGGGATTTTGTTTCAGCCAACCAGTTGAGTTCTCTGTGACTGTGACTCTTTATGCTCCACTGGTTGGTTGAAACAAAATCTTGGTCTGGATTTTTACTCTCTGGACCTGAACTACCCACCTCTGCCAGTGTGCCACCCCACACTGGATTCATGTTTGACATAATAGTAAAAACAGTTACTCCTCTTTAAAAGCTTGTTGGAGCCTCACAGCTGTCTCCCTCTGCTGCATCTTTCTCTACTGGACCAGACATTGGATATAAACAGGCAAACAGCTAAGCCCATAGTAAACATGGGACTGTGTAGAGTGTCAACAGTAAAGCCTCAAACCAAGCTGGCTGTCTGAGTGGAGTCACAGCCCCAGGCCTCCCCAGGCCTCCCCAGCTCACCCAGCATCCTCAGGCGGCCAATCTTATCCATGAGCAGGGCGGACACGATGTTCCCTGGCAGCACGGCCAGCGTTCCCAGGAAGCTGACGAAGTAGATCATGTAGGCGTTGTTTTCGTCGCTGAAGTCTAGCATGCAGCCCTCCTTGTTGTGTAAGAAGGTGCTGTTGACCAGGCGGCAGTTGATGAACCTGTACTGGAAAAGGTCTGGGGGGGTGGGGGGGACTTTACTGGCTACTGATGGGAATGATCATCACACAGGTACATCTAGAACTCCAGTTCTTAACCCTAACCTGTACTGGAAATGGTCTGGGGGTGGTGCTTCACTGGCATCTAGCACTATCTAGAGCCATTTGTGGTACCCTGTATTCAAAATAAATGTTTTGAAGCATTACAGCACCTTTATGAATGAATCTGATAACAGAATCTGATTAATCTGATCAGATTATTCTTTCTTTGTCAGCCATGCACGTGTCAGGAGACTTTCATTATCATGAGCATTCATTGTGCTTTCTGAAAAAAAATCACTGACGCCATGTCAAATTAGAATGGCAGCTTTGCAATGTGCTTCCCTCATTCCCAAATGAAATGGTTACCGGACAAGGTTGCTAGGTTACTTCTGAGGTACATTGATTAGAATTCATAAGGCATAGTAGCTATTCTCACAATGAATAAAGGCTACTTAGGAGTAGTTCCTACTGTGGAAAATGTGTGCTGCAGAACACCTGTGTTGTAGAAGAGTGTGGAGATAAAGGTGCAGTTTCTGAAGAAGGTGTTGCTGGAGGTGATGTCCTCAAAGTAGCATTCCTCAAACAGGGAGTCTTCGAACACCATGGACTTCATTCTCAAGTTCATGAACCTTTAGGACAGAAAATGCAATTGGGGCACACAATCACACAGCAGATGTCTTTGAGAAACATACAAAAACACCCAAAGACTAGGCAGTGCCCTAATTTTCCTTGAGATGCATTCACGCTTGGAAAACAGATCACGGTTTCTCAGTGTTTTGCAACATACAAGTCTTTCACAGGCTCTTAAAAAGACGTGCTGCACATTTTCCTGAGCATGGATGAAGCAAGGACTCACTTGTCATTGAAGTACTCTCCATTACGATGCACCTGGTTCTCAAGGGTGAAGTTGAATGTGACATGTTCCACCTTCTCTTTGATAAACACCTTTGTGCGACTGGAATACTCCTGCTTCTGCAAGTACTTGATCATGTCGGGGAACCACACCGTCAAACCGTAATAACTGACGATGGGGAGAAAGAGTCAAAACAAGTGGTCTGTAAGAATCTGTAAGTATGCAGAATCTTGCTTTGCCTTCAACAATATTAAATCAATAGCAATGGGAATACAAATAGACTTAGAAGCAAAACATAGAGTAAATAGGCTCTATAGATTATAGGCCAGATTATAGGCCAGATTACGTTTACTGTATCTCTAACAGCAGCAGAATCCTCTAATCCGTGTCTCTAACCTGAAGGACATGGAGAACCAAACAGCCATCATCATGAAGGTGATGCGCCGATACTCAGGAGAGAAACAGGTAAGGAAATTGCTCCGCACCTGAAGGAATAAAAGATGGTTGTCTGATGCTCAAAACCCACTTAAATGCCACACAGAGGATAATATACCACACTGCAAAATTAATGTAATACAATGTCATTCAAAATAATTTATCCATCTATCATTTTCTACACCGTTCTATGCAGCTTCATGGTGGTCCAGAACCTATACTGGAAACCACAGGTTCAAGGCAGGGAATAACCCAGGATGGGGCACAGAGAACAAACATACAACACTAAACTATACTATCAGTGTTTGGGAGCAGCTAACTACAATTAGCGACACTATTAACTTTTTTCAGTAGTGTATTAGTAGCACAGTTACTGTAAAAGCTACAACGTTTTAAAAGTAACTATTTTGATTTACAGTTAGTGATGTAGCGTGGAGAAATGCTACATCATTAAAAAACACTACAGGTCGTTGTCAACTAATCACCTATGCGACTTGCGGCTAATCGACTTTCACGGTCGTTCCAAAATCACAAATATGTGGCCACGACTGCACTGCACCTGGCAGCAGGACGGCTGCCCAGCATGAGTGTATGACAGTTTCTGCCGCGACTGCTGGCAGTGCGATGATCCCCGCGACACACCCATCCATTCATCCCCTGCTCAGGCTACTGTTCGCAGCAGTCACAGTACGGTATACATTTGTATCCATTTGTGTCTTAGCAGCTTAAATGGTGATAAAAAGGTTATAACAATTATGAACTAAGAAAACAGTGATAAAAAGGTTAAAAAAAACACCAAACAATATAACTTAAAAGATGATTTCTTTTATTATACAGTACACTTCCTATATGATTATTTTCCGCGGTTGTAAGTCAACGGCAGCCTGTATCATTTTTCTCTCTTTACAACGATGGGTATTTTCAGCTACCAGGTGTTTCTGATTGGTGTCTTTTGATTATATACTCTGGGGATGGATGTCAAAGGGTTGAAAAATACTTCACAACACACAATACTTTAGACGCTTTCATTTAAATGCACAGGAGCACTTTGGTTCTTGGACAGATTACCAAAACTACCTTTTTTTGTAGTAACACTTCTAAATTTCACACAGCAATTCTCCTAGTTTACACCAAATAAATAAACTTTTTTTAAAATCTTATTGTGATTTAACATTACGTTGTCTAAAAATATATAGATTTTCATAGTATTTTTAATATCATGCTTCACATTTTTAAAATTAATTTGCTTTAAGAGTATCCTACAGTACAAATATGAAGTATTATTGGATGGAATAGCTTCAGTGTAATTAGCTACTTTTTCTCTGTAGCTTGTAGTGCAGTTAACTACCCTATTAAAACAGCAGCTTGGCTGTAGCTTAGCTACTTTTAATCATAAGTAGCTCATAGCTTGAAAAGCTACTGTTTAAAAGTAGCATCCTCAACAATGTATACTACACTGTAATATATCGTATACTGTAATATATTGCATGTATACTGTAACATAATGTGATATGATATGATATGATATATGATGTGATGTGACGTGATGTGATATGATGTGATGTGATGTGATGTGATATGCTGGTGGCCCAGTGGGTAGCACTGTTGCCACTTACCTGTAGGACTGGGGTTCACGTCACTGCCTATGCTCCATGCGTGTGGAGTTTACATGTTCACCCTATGCCATTATGGAGCTTTCTCTGGGTGCTCTGATTTCCCCCCCATAGTCCAACTCATGCTGAGGCGTGTGAGTATGTGTGTATGTGTGTTTGTGTGCGTGTGTGCGTGTGTGTGTGAGTGAGCACGCGCATTTGCCCTGCGATGGGTCGCCACCCTGTCCTGGGTTATTCCACGCCTTGCACCCATGGCTTCCAGACTAGGCTCTGGATCCCCATGACAACGCATAAGACAAGCAGGTATAGATTATATATGAATGACATATAATAACAAGCTACTGGTCAGGTATATGTGTAAATATACACTACAGGGAACGATGACGACAGACCTTCTCATTAGGGTTTGCAGAAACACACATATGTCTATAAGGTCACTGTCCCTAGTGTTTCTCCCCATCACAGTACCTGGTTGAAAAGACTCAGCATTTTCATCCTCCAGCGTTTGTGCCAGGCCTCTGCCTCATCGCCCATCTCCACCAGCTCGTCCATTGGCTTCACTGTTTTAATGGTGGTCACCTGAGGTCAGGGGTTCGAGTGAGAGAGGGGAATCAGAACATAGAAACACTTACGGCTGCTTTTTCCATCTATAGTACTGTGTAAACATTTTAGGCAGTCAAAGACAATGATGTCTAAACTGTGTTTTTTGACCTGAGCAAATAAAACTACCCAGCTTTAAACATTTCCTTTGGTTGCCAAAGACTTTTGCACATTGTATGTTTGTCTTGGGTTCCACAAAAGGAGGCACACTTTGCGGACCCTCTGCTGCTCCCCAAGGACTAAGATGGGCTGAAGAATAGACAGAGATCCACCAACGGGGTAATAAGGCCACTAGCTCTCCTGCATACTCTGTAGGAGTTCCCAAAGGGCGCTTTTCCACCGCACAAAGTACGGTGCTTTCGGTACTTACGCTTTTCCATTGACTTCCGGTCGAGTACCAGTACCGAAAGTTCCAGTACCGAAAGTTAAAGTACCGAAAGTGCCAAACCAGCTGGGGTACTTCTTTGGTACTTCAGTAATTTGGGGTGGGACTTACAAACGTATTTGCTGTCGATTGGTTATGCAAATAGCCTACCGTTGAAACACAAAATGCACACAGCGAACAGCGAGAAACTAAATAAAAAGCAGTAGAAACAAAAATATATAAAAAGTAAAACGGAAGGATGGACAAATGAGGAAACACAGGCTTTAATCGCCATATGGTCGGATGAACAGATCCAGCGGGATTTGGATGACACAACTCGGAATAAAAAAGTATTTGCCGTAATAGCAAGCCGCTTGGAAGAAATGTGGCACACGCGAAACACCGAACAATGCCGCTTGAAAATCAAAAAACGTAAGCAGGACTACAGGAAAGTGAAGGATCATAATAACATGTTTGAATTCAGCGAAACAAATAGTCAGTCAGGGGCGGCCGCTGATGATGTCTTTTGGCACCGGTACTAGTTTTTACGCCAGCGGAAAACCGACACAAAAGAAGTACCATGCTTTTGGTACTTTATGGAAGTACCGAAAGTACCGAAAGTACCGAAAGTACGGTACCTGGTGCGGAGGAAAAGCGCCCTAAAAGCACCATGCTGACATTCTGAAGCACGATTTTGTATAAATTCATTTTCAACAGTTGTCTAGAATATTGAAATGACCTTTGACACTTAATTCCAGCTTCAATTTCCGAGTGTGCCCCACCCCGTGTGTCGTTCAGCAAGCTGATGTAATTATACTTTCAATCAAGCATAATTTTTGCTTCATTTCAGTATAATTATAGAGCAATCTATATGGACTATATCTGCAAAGAATATATTTGGCATTAATTTCTATCAGCATGGTCAAAGAAAACTGACCTTTATTATTATAATTGGGTAGAGAGGAATGAAAATATGAGTTTTTTTTCCGCAAGATGATTAAGACACGATATCTCCCTCATCCGCCAAACCCCCGTCGTCACTCAGCGAGCTAATGTCTGCAATTTATTGCGATCCCAGAATGCAAGAGGAGACTCATGGACTCACGGAGAAGACTCTCTCTGGGTAGCCCTTGGCCCGCATGTTGGTGTCATGGACTTGTTTCAGGATCATCCAGGCCTCATCATGCTTTCCATTCTGTTAATAGCCAGAGGCACAGCAGCAGCGTCACATACGGCTGTCGTCTGTTCCGGAAATCACTCAGCGTGTGTGACGTGCCTTACACAAAAGCCAGTTACCTGGGACCCATTGTTCCACTAACTGTACGCGGTTGTGATCAGAGTATGGGCTTAATTCCCATATATAAGACACATAAGGTACAGCCTCTGCATCATGTTCAGTAAAACCATCAGTTATCACAGTCAAACATGCTGCATTTGTGTTTAAAAAAAATGCTACGCTAAAAATAACCCAGCACTGCGCTAAACAGGACACGGCTCGGCAAGCTCTGCAATAACAGAGTGCCGGCAGCTGAGTGGATTCAGCCGAACGTTTTGGTAATTCATGCAAACGCTGCCGCTTTATGCAGAAAGGCACTAAAATAAGCCGGAGCACCTAGTCCAGAATTAGCACGGCACCGGGTCAATTTTTAACCCCGCAAGTGTGCATGTGCGTCATTAATTCAATCCTTGGTGTCTTCTTAGGCCGATTCCCTGGTCAGATGGACAGCGAGTGCTTATGCTAAGGCGTGTAGCATGAAGGCCGCTGACGTGGCAGCGCACGGCTCACCTCCAGGAAGAAGCGTGGGCTTTCGGGCATGGTGGTGAGCGCCGCGATGGCGGACACCGCGGGGAAGGCGCACACCAGCACGAACACCCGCCAGCTGTGGAACTGGTAGGCGGAGCCCATCTGGAAACTCCAGCCTGCCGGAGGTAGGTGGTTAGTACGCCTGATGGGATCCACTCAAGGCGGTTTCGAAAACACCAAGACCACAATATTTCTCAAAAGCACAGCTGAAATTTCCCTGAACTGGGATATATGCCTATTCCACATGCAGCGTCGAAACCTGAATTCCTTGCAAAGGGGATTCAAAAAATTAAATACAGATTTAACCCTATTTTCAAATGTAGAACAATCGTAGGTCCAAATTTAAAACCATTCAGCAGGACACCTTCAGAACAGATGGCCACATGCAGTAATGAGATGGAACGGAGCCACGGATGGGAGCCGGATTTCGCCACAGTGCGGAGCGCCGGCACACGGAAAGCCGCCTTACCATAGTGCGGAATGATGGCCCAGGCCATGGCGGAGGCGTAGATGCCCCCGATCATCCAGAACATGCAGAGCCAGCTCAGGTGCTCTCCTCTCTTCTCCTGAGCCAGGAACTCGGAGTAGTAAGAGAACACAATGGGGATAGAGCCACCAATCCTGGGGGCAGGAAGGGAGCCGGAATGACAGCGTGTCACTTCCTGCAGTGTTTATAGGAGGCCCACTGTGACATAGGAGGCCCACTGTGACATAGAAGGCCCACTGTGACATAGGAGGCCCACTGTGACATAGGAGGCCCACTGTGACATAGAAGGCTCACTGTGACATAGGAGGCCCACTGTGACATAGGAGGCCCACTGTGACATAGAAGGCCCACTGTGACATAGGACGTCCACTGTGACATAGAAGGCCAACTGTGACATAGGAGGCCCACTGTGACATAGGAGGCCCACTGTGACATAGGAGGCCCACTGTGACATAGAAGGCCCACTGTGACATAGAAGGCCAACTGTGACATAGGAGGCCCACTGTGACATCTGCCCTATTTCTCTAGCCGTCCCAGGAAGCGACAAGCACACCTTCGCTGTCCAATGAAAACCACACGTCTACTTTGTAACGGTTATGACTTTATACTATAGGTGAAATATGCCCAATCTCCTCTGACTGTATAGCATCTGACATCAAATTGACCAATGAAAAGATGTTTTATGAAGTCATCTATTTAACAAGTATTTATGTTTGAACTAGTTAACATTTGTATTCATGAAGGCTGTTTGTATAGATTACTTCATATCGCTAATTTTAACAACTTAACACCGATAGCTAGACAGCTAGCTAACTAATATCATTGTTAATTGTGAATATAAAGTCATAGCGACTCACTGACAACAATCCACGTAAGTCCATTTAAAAGATTAAACCATTCACTGAATGGCTGTGTAACAATAGGTTTCTATTTGTGGTGCTAAGGGTGTCTCATTATGTTGTTCTTGGTTTATTTTGTAAAGCAGTTTCTTAGAAAATGCATTTTTCTCCACAGTTTTTGGAGATGCGTGTTTTTCATTGGACAGGGACGATATGACTCTAAAGGGCCTTTATCGGCATCATAGCTGTATTCGAAAAAGTCAGTGAGCTTACCACAGGAAACAGGTCTGGGGAAATTACACAGGGACGCTGACCTTTTGACGTCCATCCAGATATGTGTGAGCCTCCCAGACTATGAAATGGTGAAATTACACAGGAAGAAGATGGAAGCGACGCCATGAGTGCAAGATGCTCACCCGACGCCGGAGAGCAGACGACAAAAGAGGAAAGTGCTGTATCCTTGGACGAAGGAGGAGAAGAAGGCGAAGACGCTGTTGATGGAGAGAGAGATGAGCAGAGTCTGGCGTCTTCCGATCCTGTCGGCCAGCCCCCCCCACACAAAGGCTCCCACCATCATACCCAGGTAGACAATGAGGCCTGGATAAAAGGAAGAGGCAGGACAATGGCAGACAAGCAAGGCCAATTCAGTCACAAGAAAGCCACAGAAAAGGACAGGAGGCATGTGCTGTAATTCACCACCTAGTATTTCATTATTTTCATTAAGAAAGCTTGGCCTATTTCGGACCATTCAGAACAGGAGATGTTCCAGTGGAAGTGGAGTAGATGGGTGAGATAATGGAGTGGATGAAAACGAAAATGAAGTCAGCTTCAGATGAGATGAGAATAATGACTTGGTAGGTCTCTGAGCTAGTCACAGCGAACAGGACCAGCCTTCATCCAATGTGTATGGAATTATGAAGGACATTACAATTGAAAATTTTAAGTATTTACTGAGTATTTCAGAACCCACAAACAAAGATTACTGTCAGTCATACTTAGTTATTTCCTGGTGAAACAGCTATTAATATAGAAGGACACCACATTGCTTGTAGCAAGTCTTGTGAAAAAATTTTGAAAAAAAAAAGTTATCCAAGAATATTTGGTCCAGAAATCAGTCCTTTTTTAACTCAGTCGAGTCAGATTCCATGTTCTTTTTCAAAATAAATTTACCTGTCATTAAAATTTCTTCATGGCTTCATATATATTCATATTTCATAAGCTGCCACAGGCCACACCACTCCATTAAATCCAGTAACCCGCCACTGGTACATTGGCAGGTTCTATTTTTCAGGGGAATAAAAGAGGTTGACAGTGAAATCCACTGGAAAGGTGTTTACTTAAGTGAAGTGTCCATGAGGGAATTCTTCCCAATATAGGTACTGGCTCCGGTCCACCTGATTAGTGTTGCAGTACTAACTGAGATAATACTCAGTCTCTTGGTACAGCCTTTCTGTTTGTCTATTACAATTACTCAATACTGGAGGAGAGCAAAATAGTGACAGGAATCTAAACCAGACTACGCTCTTCAAATTGATTAGATAAGCCATTAGCCTTGATGTATATTGAGCTCGAAAGATATTTGAAGGTGGATGGAAAGTTTGTGAAAAAATAATGCCCTGCCTTGGGCGAAGCCTCGCAGACATATTCTAGATTTAGCCCAAATGAATGAATCCCTCCCACCAACCACGGCCCCCACGCTTTCAAAGTCACCTTGATGGCAGGTTCCTCAAATGCCTAATGGCAACTTGGCCAGGTTGTGCACAGGATACCATTTTAGCGTTTCTACCAATCAAGGCAACCAGCGAGCCAGTCACTGAGACAACACTCCTAATAAAGAGACTGTAGAAATTAGCTAAACCTAGGAAGTGTCACAACTCTTTGACTGCCTTGGCTTCCAGGCAAGTCTCGAACTGCTGCCACCTTGTGTTCACTCATACATACTTCCTTTGGTTTCCAATACATATCCCAGGAACGAAATGATGGCTTGAATCACATTTCTTTGCCTTGACATAGAGGGAGTGACCCTTCAAGGTGCTACAAGCCTTGATGTATGTGATGGACATGCTCAGTTTCATCAGTCAAACAGATAAGTAGGTCATCAATGTAATCACAAAATCTAGGACCCACATATGCCTGCTGCTCTGGCCAATGGTCAGGTAACCATGCACTTGTTACAGCACCCTGGTCAGTGGCCACCTGTCAGAATTTCTGGACTGTTGTTTTGGACAGCCCGTGAGCACATGGCCACCAGACGACGCCCGGACTGCCCTCGACTGGGGATCATCATGCCGGCTGCTGCCACCCTCTCGGAGCCCAGGCTCCCTGTAACACGACGTCCTCATTCATGCCGTGTGAGTCGATCAGGATATCGACAAGATGGCGGTCATGTCCAGAGACAGCGGCTTTGTACTACACTAACACACAGTTTTGCTGTACCTGTATAATGCCATAAAGATTCTATTCTATTCTATTCTATTCTATTCCTTTACTGCCCGGCTCTCTAGCCATAATTATCATCTGACTTCTTGGTTGTTTAATGATCTCCCTAGTTCCTCTCTGTCTCTCTCTCTCTCTCTCTCTCTTAAAACATCTTCTCTTTTTTCCTTCCTTTTGGTTCTTTCCCCAGCATGACGCCCCATTCCCTCCAACCGCTCGCTCACTCCCCCGATTTAAGCGGATCTGGCACAGAATAAAGACCTTGGCCATCACTTCCAGCAGCCGCGGGATTCCCCTATGCTCTCTCACTGGATATTTAATAAACAGAATCTGCCTGTTTGTGGCTCGTGCTTCCACACGCATCATCGCCTATGTGCTTCACTCCCTGTAACAATGGTGGGGGACGTGGGTACAGAGAACGAACCACTAACCACTCATCTTCTGTTTCCGGCTCCTTATACACATTGTCATGGAAGA